CTCTTCCTTAATAAATACTTATGGCTATTTCCTGTGTTTACGTGTCTGTTACCTGCCGCCACCGTTGGCCAAGGAAGCGGGCCCTCCTGTAGCCGCTTTCTCATGGCGGGGTTCCGCCAGCCCGCCCGGGGACCATTTGTAGCCGCTCTCTCATGACTAGAGACTTTTGTCCATTACTGTACAACCCAAGGTAGTGCTTGGAGCTTCACACAGAGAACTGCCTTCCTGACCTCGGCCACACAGAGGTCTTGATCCGGAGACAGGAAAGAGTATCTGAGAAGCAGAATTTGAGCCAAGAAAGCAGCATTGAGAGCGGTCACCGATGAGCCCTGGGGTCTGGCCACGGGTGAGCGATGGGAGCACCGAGAGGGGGAGTGAAGACAGACAGGATTTGGCTTTTCTCTCACAAAGGCTGCTACTGTGAGGAGTTTGTCTTCCTCACCTCGAAAAGGAACAATTTTTCAAATAAGACTGGCCAAAAGTGGGGAGGATGGATTAGAGGCTCTATGCGTATCTAAGGAGAAAAAGGCAAGAGTAAATAATCCCCATGAACACATTATTAATGGTTGCTGACAGACTGAACTGTAAAGGATACCCCGTAGGTCAGCACGAGGCCAGAACCGGGGCTGTCTGGGCTGACAGCACAACCTGGACTGAACCGACCATGTTCGAGGGGCAGGCCAAGCCTTCTTCCACTTCCCTACTTCACTAAGAATGTTAATTCTAGCATTCACTTGTGTGTGGGTGGGTATGTCCGCCACAGCACCCAGGCAGGGGGTAGGAAGGCGACCTTTAGGAGTTGGTTTTCTCCTTCCTCACGTGGACCCTGAGGATCAAACTCAGCTGGTCAGGCTTAGTGGCAGGCACTTTGATGTGTAAAACTATCTTGCTGACACCTACTTCCTGTTGACTGGGGAGCAGCAAGCAGGTCCTGGCTCTGCCCTCTATGCAGTCTTCCCTTCCCACAGTCCCTATCCTTCAACCCTTCAAAGTCTATTTAAATTCCCCGATCCTATGAGTTAACACACACCTAGGTATTTTTACCCATAAGTAATGTAGACATATGCAAATATTATATGCCAATATTTGGAGTTTTATTCCTAACTGATCAGATCTAGAAACATCAGTTGATGCATGGATAAGTCAAGAGTAACCTATCCATAAAGGCAACGCCATTTAGAATGAAAAGGACCAAGTTACCAAGACACCCACAGCATGCCTGAGCCTCCAGTGCGTTTTGCTGAGTGAAAGAAACCAGATTCTGAGTCTATACAGTACCATTCACGAGGGTTTGGAAAATACAGAAGTGCTAAGAAGACATATGAGCGGCTGCTTGAGGCTAGGACTGGGAGCCCACTGACAGGAGAACTCCTGTTTTAGAGAGAATGGGACGCTCTCCATCGTGCCTGCAGGGACTATTACGTCATCATGTACATCTGTCAAGACTTGAGAACTGCTTGATAAAAAGTGTAGGGCCCTGGTCTCCCTTACTCCTGGGGTGCATTGGCGGGGACAGTTTGTTATCAGTTAACTAAGCTTCCTGTGTGTTTCCGTGCTATCCCTGCCCCACCTGGTGATTTAGCTGCAGGCAATCTTCTCCATTGTTAATATGGTAATTTCCCACCTTCCTGGGCGGAGAGATCTTTGTGCTNTGGGTGGTGAGATCTTTGTGCTGCAGTTAGGTAGAAAAGGGCTTCCCCAAGTCTGAATAAACGGCATTCGCTTGATCTCCTATCGAATGACCCTGGTCTCTGTGTCTTGTGTTCAATCTCCAGGCCCTTGCCCGGACTCGCATTCGGTACAGCTGCGCGCGAACTGTACCGAGGGTGTAACACCAAAACCGGGTGTTACAAAAAAGGTAATTTTACTACACATGAATTATGTCCTCCTAACCCTGACATGGAAAAGAAGATCCCTTAGGATAGGACTACACTGTAAGACCTGTCTATTCAAGGGTGTCTAGATTATCTAACATGATAGCTGTCATTTAAAAAGCCAGGTATATATAACTATGTATCACGTGTGCAGGTGCCCACGGAGGTAAGAAGAAGGCATTGGATTCCCTGGATGTGGAGTTATGGACGGTTGTGAGCTGCCTGATATGGGTGTTGGGAACCAAACCCAGGTCCTCTGGAAGAACAGTCAATGCTGTTAACCAATGGGCCATCTCTCCTGGCCTGACATCTACCTGAAGAGGAAGTGAATCTAAGCTTTATTACTGTTCTGTTGCCTGTTGGATTTTGGCAGAGTACTCAAAGAGGCAAAGAGGAACTAACAACAGTCAAGGAGAAGCCCCCACTCCAGTTATCCCCCAAGGGAGGCAGGTCAGTCACTCACCTGAGCATGGCCCTTGACCTCCGGTTCAGAGAACGCAGTTTCACCAGCAGCTGAGGCTGCCTCCGCATGCTTATCATCTGACGGAACACACTGCCCTGGGCTACAAAGGCATCAGGTACATGGAGACAGAGTTTAAGTGCTTGGGACAGAGTTCATTCAAACAAATATTCAGTGAGAACCCATAGCCAGGGATGCTGGATTGCACCCACCCAGCTTCTGGAGCCTGTCTGGACATGAACACCTATGTGTCTGCAGAGGGCACCTCACAGGGCACTGTGACAGGGACTCTGTGACATGAGCTGACAAAACATGCCTGGCTCCAGGTATTCCCAGCCGACCCACAGACTCAAAGCCCCCTTGTTTGAAAAGGTTGGACCCTGTACTATGGGGCAGTGGTGAGGGTCTACAGCACCAAGCCAAGGCACTGCAGGTCTGTTGACCTTGCACTCTATGAGGAAGGACCACATCTATCTTACTGACCATTTTCCTGCTTCTCCAGCACACTGTTGGGTGCACGGTACTAACACTGCTGGGTGGATGGCACTAAGGGCACTCAGTTTCTTTTGGGGGGCAACTTGGCATGCACTCACATAGCCTTGAATTAGCCTTTTCTACTCATTCTATATTTGTCACGAGTATTGTGCTGCCAGTTTCATGTCAACTTGACATGAGCTAAAGTCATCTGAGAGAAGGGGGCCTCAGTTGAGAAAATGCCTCCCTAAGATCAGGCTGCGGGCATTTTCATATTTAGTGACTGATGGGGGAGAGCCCAGCCCATTGTGGGTGGTGCTATCCCTGGGCTGGTGGTTCTGGGTTCTATAAGAAGGCAGGCTGTGCAAGCCATGAGGAGTAAGTCGGTGAGCAGCATCCATCCATAGCTCCTGCCCTGGTTGAGTACTGCCCTGTCTTCCTTCCAAGATGAATTACAGGTGGTTTAAAAGAAAATGGCCCCCAAACGGAGTGGCACTATTAGGAGGTGAGGACTTGCTGGAGACGGTGTGTTCTTGCTGGAAGAAGTGTGCCACTGTGGGGGTGGGCTTTGAGGTCTCCTATGCTTACGCTTATGTCCAGTGTGACAATTCACTTCCTATTGTCTGTGGATCAAGATGTAGAACACTCAGCTCCTTCTCCAGCACCATGTCTGCATGCACGCCACCATGCTTCCCGCCACGATGATAACGGACTAACCTCTGAATTATAAACCAGCCCAGTTAAATGTTTTCCTTTATAAGAGTTGCCTTGGTCATGGTGTCTCTTCACAGCAATAAAAATCCCAACTAACACCAAGTATCAATCCAGGTCCAGTAAAAAGGAGCAGAGACAGGGTCCCCATTATTCACAATTTTCTACCGTAGAGTCTCAGATGTGTTAACAAAAACACACACTTAGATAAAAGTGGTTCAATCTCCATACTGATGACACATTAAGGACCGTGACTCAGAGCGGAAAGTGTGTCTTATTAGGACACAGGGACATTCTCGCATCTCACCTGCCTCATCTTGAAGGAAAGGAGGGTAATGCAGTTTGGGTTTAGATGTCACGCCTGTATGTGGTGCAGAGACATACATGCAGACACACACACACGCACTCTACATTTTTTTTAAAGACCTGTAAAGAAGAGGTGGTGGGACCTTTTGAGGGTGGGGTCCTCAGGGACACATTAGGCCCCTGGGGCTGTGCCTATGAAGCAGATAGAGGGACCCTTGCCCCTGCTCTGTTCCCAGCCATCCCAGGGACTTCTTCACCACATACTTGACCATGCTGTTCTTTGCTAACACAGGCACAGAGCTACAGGGCCAGTGACCATAGACTAAATCCCCTCTCCTTTAACTTGCTTGTGGCAGGATCCCGGGGTTAAGAAGCCCCTAGCAGAGGGTTACAAATAGGCTGTACCTCTTCTGGACACCGAGGGGTCCACTTCAACGCCTTTTTCGTAAGGAGTGCCGCCATTCAAGAAGAGTTCATACGTTCTATAAAAGAACAGCATACGTGATGGTCCGTGTTGTAGGCATTTGTGAACCAGACTCAGCCAGGCATATGCTTCAGGACAACGGTATTCTGGGGCACTTCACCCAACCACTGGTAAACGAGAGTCAAGGTGCTGATTCTCTCATGAGCAGCATCACAACAGACAGACGCCCCCCACTTAGTACTAACTGCATGCAGAAAGGGTGATTTTCCACATGAAGAGCTAGATCCTGACGTCACTAAAATGATTTGTGTCGATAAGTAATAACTCTTATTTCTCAAATATATCGAGTCATTATATGCAGTGAAGTCATTATTAGCTTCTACTGCATTCTCCTCTTCCCTTCCTCTCTCCTGCTAGGTAAGTGCTGTATCTCTGACTTGCTACCCTCTGGCTCCCATGTGCTTTTCTTTTATGGGAGGATAACTTATGTGCGCACAGAGAAGTTAAAAGTTATTAGCCATTCTGCTCTCTGGAGGGGTTTACCTGGATCCACCCACACAGCCCTGAATGAACCAAAGTGGAGTCACAGTGTTCATATCAGTCTGTGATTTCCTCCACACAACATACACGAGAGGGGATTAAAAATAGCTGTGACTCCATTTCTGGACAGGTAGACATGTACGTGTCTCCTTATCTCCTCTACTAAGCACAATATAACCCTACGCTATATTGTAATATATTACAATTTATATATACTAAGTATAACTCATTTTTAAAAAAAGAAATTGTAAGAAATCAGGGTTCCCATAAAGATCCACTGGTAACAAATGCCCTCCCCTCCTGCAAGGGTAACATCAGATAACCAGTGGCCAGAGCCGAGACAGCTGCGAGGGAAGTGTTGCATAGTTAGCCTCACAGAAGGCCTTGAGATAGGAAATAATCTCCAGGTTAAAGATGGAGGAGACTGAGACCTAAGATGTTAAGGAACTTAAACCCAGGTCCAGAGCTGGGTCCAAAGCTCTGGATCGTAGAACTTCCCACCCAGAATCCTAATCTAGGTCTGTCCCTCTGTATTCTTCCTGCAAGGTAACTGTTTATATCCTTGACTTGGGTCATTAAAATTGTGATCGTCTATTTTCTTGTTAGCTTCTGAGATGGGGAGGCCATCCCCTCACCCTTGTATGTGGAACATAGGCATTGGCCCATCTGCTGTTGCTCTTACGGCTTCAATTTGTCTACAGTTGCCGCCACTGTGATTTCAGCATCCTGCCTGTTGGGAAGGCAGAGGATTGCAGACGACTCAGCTGCCCACTCTCTGAAGGATGCCAGGCTCTGTTTGCAGCGTACTGAGCACAGGGCTCTCATAAGGACTACAGACTGAGTGTTCTCAGCAGACAGCCCGTGCAATTATCCTTTAAAACACGGAACTCCGAGTCATTCCTTTCTTACTGGGTGAGAATATACACTCTTTCTCAATATCCATTCTTTCTCAAACACCAAGATCAATGTGAAAAGCCCTCTTTCCAAAACTTGTTGAAATATTAACAGAATAAATTGGAGGAGGATAGTCCCTAGGAATTGTCTACAAAGTTGCTCATTTGTGAAGGATAATAAGCCCACTTACTTTGCTGGAATAGGAACTCCACTGGCATCGAAAAGCTTCAGAAATACCCAGCCGCAGCTTAGCTCTCCTCTCTCCCCAGTTGACTATGAAATAAAGAGGCACAGGGAATGGTGTCTGAGATAACCACTCACAAGCAGTCAGCACTCACTCTGAGGACTAAGCTGTTCAGCACTCACTCTGAGGACTAAGCTGTCCATCAAGGAAAAGAAGCTGTAACAGGCCAGGGCTCCATTTTACCTGTAGGTCAGATGTTAAAAGTGGTACTTCAAAGGACATCCCTTAAACCTGACCCTGAGGTAACGGTTGCTATTGGGTCTCTAGTGCTAACATAATTTGGAGACAATGTCAAATTGCAGGATACTACATGACATTCTGAAGCTTTGCTTTACAGGGGGTATGGAATACAGGAATCAATAACTCAAAGATCCCCTGTGGAATATTCCTTTACACTGTATAAATATATATATCATTGTGATTGGTTTAATAAAGAAGCTGACTGGCTGAACAGAATAAGGTTAGGCAGGAGAGCCAAACTAAAGACACTGGGAAGAAGAAGGGCGGAGTCAGAGGAGTCACCAGTCAGACAGAAGAAACAGGACATGTACGAAATGAGGCAGCAAGCCATGAGCCACATGGTAGCACTTAAATAAATATGGGTTAATTTAAGTTGTAATAGCTAAATAGTAATACGCCTGAACTACTAGCTGGGCATTTATAATTAATATTAAGGCTCTGAGTGGTTATTTGGGAAGTGGCTGCTGAGACACAGAGAAACTCTGTCTACGATCCCCTTGCTAGGAAGCTCAACCCTCCTGCCAATTGCCAGGGACCACTGGGGCTCTTCTCATGTCCTACCCATCCATCTTGAAGATGTACAGGATGATGTGGTAAGTTAACATGATCTTCCTCTGATAGCTCTCTGTCTAACTGCAAGGCCAAGTTTATATGCTACACCTCTCAAGCTATGACCAGAATATGGACGTGTGGAGTCACTAGTGATGGTGGACACCACAAGGTTTAGTATTCTCATGACAAACATTAAAACACGTTTCTCATGTTCCCTTGCCACTTTCTCAAGTCACTGAGCAAGAACTGTGACCTACAAAGTTAAGTGGACTTGGCTCCCAGAAGACAGAGTTGACTGAACTCCCCACTACCACCCCCTCCCACACACACCAGAATATCCTCAGGACTTTCTAATTACCTCTGGAAAGTCCCACACTTTTATCAGTGTTTGCTCTTTAAAGGCAACTGGGGTTCAGTGAGGCTATAAATGCCATCTTTATACCCCTTTGCTTTAAACACCACTTAGCAGTACCACATAAAAATAAGGAGCCAGGGCAGTGCAAAGGCCCAGTGAGCCAAGGGGTCTGTTGCCAAGCCTGACAACTGGAGTTCAATGCTCAAGATCACACAGTGAAAGAAGAGAGTTGACCCACAACTGTTCCCTGACCTCCATGGTGTACCCATGAATAAATGTAATACTTTTTAAAAACGACATTCATCATCACTCCGGTTCCTTCATAGTTCAATTTCTGATGCACAGAAACCCTCCCCTGAGGTTAAAGTGTGAATGCCCCCTCCCCCCAGGCATGTATGTTTGAAGACCTGGTCCCAACTGGTGATGCTACTTGGAATTTGGACCATGCTAAGGGAAGTGGGTCATGGGGTGGGCCTTGAGGTTTCTGGTCCAGTCCTACTTCCTGTTCATGGTCTGCCTCCCTCTGCTGCTGGCATGCCTTCCCTGCCACGATAGAGTGAGTCCCTAGAAGTGTAAGCCAGAATAAACCCTTCTCATAAGTTGCTTTTGTCAGGGCATTTCACCATAGCAACAGAAGTGTGGCTAACCCGGCTTCTATTATTTTGCTTGTAAATCAGACACATTCCTAATTGTTCCCCTTTGATGCATCAGAACAGTTTGTCTTTCAAACTTGACATACATTGCGAATGTAAGAAATTCCAAGTTCAAATAATATCCCAAGGTCTGGAGTTGAAGAATTGGACCTGATGAAACAGTCCCCATCGAGCAAGCATGGCAGGATGCCAGTGACCTAGAATGATAAGGAAACCAAAGTTACTGCTGAAAGTGAAGAGCAGGTGGGGCTTCCAGCCTCATCCATCTGCGAAGGGGCTCATGCCTTTGCCTTATAATAGAGGGAGATGGTGGAGGGGGTGGGGCAAGGAAATGGCTCGTTAGTACAGGGCTTGCTGCCAGGCCTGAGGACTTGAGTTTGGTCTCTGGACCCACATGGTAGGAGTACTGACTCCTACAGGCTGCCCTCTGACCTTCACTTGTATGTTGTGCCATATACATGCCCGCATGGATGATGTGGGATTTCCCTCTATATGTTGTGATTACCATTAATAAATAAAGAAACTGCTTTGGACCCATAGGAGGGCAGAACTTAGCTAGGCAGAAAATCTAAGCTGAATGCTGGAAGGAAGAAGGGCAGAGTCAGAGAGAGATGGAGCCGCCGGAGACAGATGCCGGAACTTTAGCTGGTAAGCCACAGCCATGTGGCAATACACAGATTAATAGAAAATGGGTTAAATTAATATGAAAGAGTTAGCTAATAAGAAGATAGAGCTAATGGGCCAAGCAGTGATTTAATTAATACAGTTTCTGTGTGATTATTTCAGGGCTAAGTGGCTGGGAACCAACAAGCAGCCCTCTTTCTTCCAACACACAGATGTGCTAAAACAGACAAATGTAAAACAAACAAACTTTATAGAAAGTAGATGGACCAGATTCACATGTCAATGACTGGAAGTAGGAACATTTAGCGTCTCTGTTGACAGGGAAATTACCTTAAACTTTCTTGATTTTTTTTTTTTTTTTTTTTTTTTTGCTTAGAACAGGGAAAGAAGCAAACTACTGTAAGTCAGTCCCCAGTCCTGCATGCTTTACTTACACAACCACGGCTGTTTGCAAGCAAAGCTAAAGCCAAGACCAACATGCACTTGTCCTTATTCCTGCCTTCCAGACATCCCGTTCCCTTTGTTCAACCCACTCCATCTCCCTGGACAACCATACCCCCTTCCCTGCCTAGGAAACCCTACCTATTCCCCAAGGCTTAGTTTCCCTTGCTCAAAGTCTCCCTTGGGCCTGTGGCATGAACCCTCCTCTCCCCTTGCCATCGTGCTTCCAACACCCTCAGAGCCTCACAAGCACCGCACTCTGCCTGAATGGCCCACAGACCCCAACTCACAGGCAGCACCAAGGACAAATACCACAGTGCACGTGTGTCCGCGGCCAGTGCCCCTCGGTAGTGGATATGCAGCTATTCACAGGTGTTAGTGTGAGCTCCCACATGACTAGCGCACGTGGCGTGCTCCGTTTCATTCCAGAAGCTCACTTATACTTATCCACGCTTCACAGCAGCAGGTACTCGCATCCTCGGAAGACAGAAAACCCTACCCTTACCACTGCGTGTGCACAGGGGCAAAGAGTGAAGGTATGAGCCAAGAGACAAGACGTGCTCCCTAGAAGCTGGTGCGAGGGGAACCAAGGGCTTTGAGGAGTTGTGCCACCAAGGAGGACACATGCCAAATCAAGAGAAGTGGCTGAGCCTCCAGCATAGCCTGTGCCCTCTCCCTGCCCCTCAGTCTTGTGCTAAGTAAGACCTGACGCAGTAAGAGGAAGGGAAATGAAGGGCTTCCAGTGTACAGTGGAACAAAGGAGTGGGTTGTGGGAGGGGAGAGAATGCTCAACAATGAGTCCTTAGAGGTAGGAAAGAAGTCAACCACAAACAGTACCGTAAAAAGAACAAGACAGCCTTGACTCACTAGTGTCTGTGTGGAACTGACTCTGGCTGAATGAAGCCCTAACCTCACCCCAGCCCTGACAGGATCTGGGTGTGAGGCACTCGTCCCTGAGGCGCTGCCTTTGGTTTGTACCTGAGGAAATACAGGTGCCATCAGCACAGTTGCTAGATCTCACTTCTGGAAAATACCCAATCCTAATCTTAACTTCGTGTTTTCTGCGCCATCAAGGAACATTTCCTAATATTGAAATCCACCGAGAGAGGTGACTCACAGAAATCACAGCTCCAGTGACTGGGAGCTTGGGGGATTTTTGCCAAAACTGGCAAAGAAAAACAAAGACTACAAAGATTTCCATTTGACCCTACACACTGCATGCTCCATGTCCCACACTTTGGGAGCTGCATGCTGGACCGTATACTTTGCAGGTAAAGAAACCCACTCAGCGATGACTTACCTGGGGAGAAAAGGTCCATGTTTTGGGCTTTTTAGGCTGCCAGACTGCTCGAACTGTATGGATGTTGCTCAGAACCTGAAATGAGATTTTCTCATTTGAAACCACACTGTAGGAGCCTTTGAGACTCCTGCACTTCTGAGTCCCAAGGCATCAACAACTCTGCACTCAACAGCATAGACATGGTGCTCTCTCTGTCTGTCTCTCTTTCTCTTTCCCCCTCTGTGTGTGTGTATATATAGGACAAAGAAAACAGAAGAACAAAAGATTAGAAGGAAGAGAAAACCGAGCATACAGCTGAGGGTGGGGACAGTGCAGAGCATGCGCTCAGCATGCGGGAGGCCCTGAGCTCCATTTCAGCAAAGATGAAGCGTCCAGCTGAAAGTCCGGGGCTCCTTTCCGTCTCCCTGCTACCTAGGGTACCAGAGCCCTTCAGTGAACTGCTCAGAGACTTTGGCTGTGTCGGGGGAGGGAGGGACGTCTCCACAAGTGCCACGTTCTTGCTTGGTATCAAAGCAGCACCTCTTATTTGCAGCAGTCTTAGATTTCTCGTGGAAGAGTAACCAGTGTGAGGACGTGCGTTCCTACTAGATACACCTATTACATGAAATCTGATACAAATCAGTTTTATGAGTTACAATCCATGATTTTGGTATAAGTTTTATTATTTTCATGTATTAATAAAAAAATTAAACTACAAACTGAAGCATGATGTTGTGGTGTACATTTGTAATCCCAGCAGAAGCAAGAGGATGAATTCCAGCCTAGCCTGGGCAGGACATTGTCTCAAACAAACGAACAAACAAAGCTGGCCTCCTAGCTCTTGTGAAAGGCCAGACCGGGTGTACCTGGGAGACTGTCTCTAAAACAAACAAACAAACAAATGGCACTTCATCTCCTTTTGGTCACCAGTGGTCACCGGTGACACCTACTGGCAGTGGTTCTATACAGAGATGTGGGGATCACTATTAGACATTCCACGTTCAATGAAGGATGAACTCATCCATAATATGTGGAAGTCCAAGGCCTCCTGGCTGCTTAACACTCTGCCCTCCCGTCTAGCCCAGCACATTTGGTTGATTCTCGCCTCCTCCATCTCCCTCTGCAGCGCCCTCCTAAGTTGCAACCATCATCCCTCAACATCATGCTCTCCTGTGCTGAGTGGAGTCCTAAGTGTTTCACTCATTAACTCACTTAGTCCTCACATCAACCCTGAGGACAGTGTGAGCAAGGCCACATCATTTGGTCAGGTCTCATGCCAGCAAATGGTGGAGCTGGTTAGTCCTAAGTGAGCTGGCTCTTTATTTTGTTCAGCTGACAATGACACTTGGCTGTCCTGACCACCAGATATTGTAGGATTTCTCTACTTATCTTTCTGTTAGTGCTATGTAGAGCTGTTCCATTTCTCACTGTTGCAGCAAAATAACCAACCACAGAAACTTAATGAAGGTCGGGTTCACTGGCTCATTGCTTGAGAGTATGGTGGTAAGAAAGTGTCTCTAGATGTGGCCACAAGATCTTGAGGCAGTTGGTCACACTGTGACCTCAACCAGGGAACAGAGAGAGTCCAATGCTGCTGCTCAGCTCATATTCCCTTCCCCTTTCATTCTGATTAGACAGAAAAGGGGAAATGCTGTGGGATGTCTCTCTGTATGCTGTGAATATGTGTTGTTCTCACTGGTTGATAAATAAAGCTGCTTTGGCCTATGGCACAGCAGGATAGAGCCAGGCAGGAAATAAAAACAAAGATACAAGAGAAGGGAGGAGTTGGAGCAAGGCACCATCCAGTTGCCCAAGGAACAATGTGCCAGCAGATTGGTAATGCCACAGCCACATGGCAATAATTAGATTAATAGATATGGGTTAATTTAAATGAAAAAGCTAGCAAGTAATATATAATTAATATCAAGCCTCTGAGTGTTATTTGGGAACTGGTGGGTGGGAGAGAAACATCTGGATACAGCCTGTGACCTAAGTCTATGAAATGTGCCATGCCTATTCTGCATGGGTCTTCCCTCTCTGGCTTAACTCAGTCTTCTACGCCTAGGTTTTTAAGTTAAGTTGGTAGCTTAGACAACTTACTTTGAGTCTTTATTCTTCCCAGAATTTGCAGTTAAAGCTATAAATTTCTATCTAGGCACTAAGAATTTTCTCATAAAAGATATGTTTGTTTTAAAATAATCATTCAGACTTTTTTTTGGTACTGGGTGAAAAATAGTCTCTATAATCAGGGAGGAATAGAATGGAAAGCTTTGTGTAGACATGGCAATGCTCTGTTTTCTTACTTAAGGTGTTGGTTACACCAGCATATATATAATACTATATACTTCAATACTATAGTTAAGACCTGGGCTGAGTTTAACAGTAGGAGATGAGCATTAGTACCTTAGATACATTAGCTCAGATAACATTGCCAGTGATATACCAATATCACCCCCAACAACTCAATGAATCAGGAGTTAAATCTATGTAATCAGAACCAGTATGGATGTAAGAAGCCTTAATGTGCATATACTGTGTATGTATATATATATAAAATACATGGTGCTAATAAAATCCTTTCCCCTTATCCTGGAGTGACCTCACTTAGCTTCCAGTGGACTTGGTTCTTACCTTACTACCATCGAACAGACAGAGACGCACATGTCTACTGAGAACCTGTATGCTTGTTCCTGGGAGAGGAATCATTTTACAGCTCCAGAGGGTCAGAATCAAAGACACACGACTTAGTCTTGACATAATCTGAAAGGAAAATTAAGCACAAAATTTATTACTATTATTTGTTTTTTATAATAAAATCAATTTTATATAACATCTTTTTTGTTTTGTTTTTTTTAAGATGGTTTCTCTGTATAACAGTCCTGGCTGTCCTAGAACTTGCTTTGAAGATCAGGCTGGCTTCAAATTCACTGAAATCTGCCTGCTTCTGCCTCCCAAGTGCTGGAATTAAAAGAGTGCATCACCATCCCAGCTACAAAACATCTTTTATAAATACACCTTAAAAAAATAAATACAAAGCTAGGAGCAGCAATTCACTCTGGAAATCTCAGAACTTAGGAGGTGAAGGAGAAAGATTGAGAGTTCAAGGCTAGCCTGGGCTACATGAGACCCTGTTTTAAAAACAAGCAAGCAAAGGAAGAAAATACATATAGATTTTTAAAAAAAAACAAGAATTTTACACAAACATATATACAGTTTTTAGTGAAGTACACTTAATATAAAAGACAGTCATTTGAGGTAAATTTTCATACAGCTATATTTGAAAGCTGCATTTTTTTCCCTTAATTACTTACAAACTGCAATAAAAAGGACACGCAGGAAGGACTCACAGGTAAAATAAATGATTCGACTGTGGAATCAGTGTTCTAGTCTCCAGTCATTCCTATAACATGTGTGTGAGCTATGCTGTGGTAGCTGTCCACGAGGAGCAAGCCAGTAAGCGGCACTCTTCTGAGGCATCTACTTCAGCTCCTGTCTCCAGGTTCCTGCCTCGAGTTCCTGCCCTGCCTTCCCTCAGTGCTGGAGGTGACCTGAGAGTCCTAAGAAGAAATAAACCCTTTACTCCCCAAGTTGCTTCTATTCATGGTGTTTTATCACAGCAATAGAAACCCTACTTAGGACAACCCCTTTCTGAGGCTTGTTGGAGTGGTTGCCTCTAAGTTGTAGGTTAGCGGTTGTGGGAGACAATTCCCAGTGCAGCTTTCTTAAGTGAGCACCCATGCTGGGGTGGGGCTTCTCAGTGACACAACTACACAAGGCACCCATGCTTCTTCTTGAAGTGGCCCCATCGACTGGCTGGTTCACAGTGGACTCCACAGAATTATTTCTTTGGCCTGTCATGGCCATTTTTATCTGGAGTGAGCAGGAATATCTCCCCAGTAACATCACACAACAGAGGTACTTCACCAAACTTTAAAACTAACGTTTATTGAGTTCCTATGTGCCCAACATCATTCTTTATCATTTAATCCCCACAATAACTGCTGAAAGAATTATTGCTATTATTATTAATCACTCCCTTTTTACATATGAAAAAAATCAAGGTAAAGAATACTTAAGATAGAGGGCTGGACAGGGCTGGAGAGACGGTTCAGTGGTTAAGAGCACCAGCCGATCTTCCAGATATCTGGGATTAGATTACCAGCACCCACAAGGTGGCTCAGAACCATCTATAACTCCAGTTCTAGGGGTCTCAACTTCTTCTTCTTCTTCGGGCCTCTGCAGGCATCAGGCACACATGTGGTACACAGACATACATGCAGCTAAAATACCCAAGTACATAAAAATTATATAAAATTTATTTCTTCAGGAAAAAAAAATGACAGAACAGCCAGAGCTGCATGGTGAGATCTTGTCTCAAAAAAAAAAAATTAAAGAATGATAACGATATAAACTTAGATCTACCATAAGACCCAGCTATACCAATCTTGGGCCTATACCACTCTTGGGCATATACCCCAAAGAATGCTTAACCATCATACCATAAGGACACTTGCTCTACTATGTTCATAGCAGCTTTATTTGTACTAGGTAGAAACTGGAAACAACCTAGATGTCTGACCTTCAACCAAGGAATATATAAAGAAAATGTGGTACATTTGCACAATGAATATTACTCAGCTGATAAAATAAAGGACACCAGAAAATTTGAAGGCAAAAGGATAGAACTAGAAAAAAAGTCATCCTGAGCAAGGTAACCCAAATCTGGGAAAGGCAAACATGATATGTACTCACTCACAAGTCGATATTATCTGTAAAATAAAGGATAACTATACTACAATCTGCAGACATAGACAGGTTAGGTATCAACGGGGGTTAAAGGGGACACCTAGAGCTCCCTGGGCAGGGGAAAACAAGAGATCTGTCAGTGGACTGAGGGTGGGTGCGGATGGGAACATGAGCAGTCAGGTTGGGGGAGTACCGAGGAGGAAAGTGCTGAGGGGACTTCTGGGGGTCATTTCAGGGTCCAGTGGAAGTGTAGGAGTCTACGGGAGGACCCCAGCTTAGACTCCTAGCAGTAACGGATAAGCAGCCTGACCTGTCCGCCTCCTGTGACCAGACTGCTGCCTGGCCTACTTGTTATCAGTGAGGATGGAAACAGACACAGACTCACAGCCAAACATTAGGGGAATTCGGGGAACCGAGGAGAAGAGGGGAGAGGAAGGATTGTAGGAGCGAGAGGGGTCAAGGACACCAGAAGAAAACTCACACAATCAACGAACCTGGGCTCCTAGGGGCTCCCAGAGTTTCAACCAACAGCCAGGGAGTCTGCATGGGACGGATAAAGACATCTGCTTATATGTTACAGTTCTGTAGTTTGGTCCTCTTGTGGACTCCTAACACTAAGATCAGGGGCTGTCTCTGACTCTTTTACTGGCTTTTGAGATCCTACTTCTCATACTGTGTCACCTTGTCCATGCGAGGTTTTTAGTCCTACTGCACCTTGATATGTAATTTTTTTCTTGATACTCATGGGGGACCTGCCCTTCCCTAAAGAGAAATGGAGGAGTGGACTGGGGTGGGAACAGAGGGGAGGGTAGGGAATAGGGCCTGTAAGGAGAGGAGAGAGGAGAAACTGACGCAGAGATGTAAAAGAAATAAATGTACTAAAAATATAAACTTAGAATCATTTCTTTTGTAATGAGAGAACAACAATAGAAGAGAAAGGAAGATAAAGTTGAGATACAAAGTTCAAATTATAAAGTATCTTTCAGAAATACACAGTGTATTCTCTGCAAAGCATTTGTCAATTTCCATTTTACATGCTATCTACACACTTGTCACAGGGCAGACACTGGGCGCTCTCATTTGACCAACAGCAAGCACACCTACCGTGCCTGCTTTAGCATCCCACAGGAGATCTCTGAAGGCCAGCTGCGATGTCGTGAGCTCCGGCTGTAAGAAGTAGCTTGCTTGAAACCGGTTCCCTACAAAAATAACACCTCCTTTATTTTCTTACAAAAGAGAAATGAAAGTCAAAACCCTAAATCCATACTTTACACAACAAACCTAGCAAAAAAAATTTCTGAAAAGCCATGTACTCACTAAGAATTCAATTTCCAAGGCAGATGGACCAATATATGCTTCTATATTAAAATAGGGCACACAAATTAAGATAGAAATATATAAAGGTCACCTCAAGGTGATCTAAGAGAGTTCTAGATGCTTAGACAAAAAGCTGCCTTATGATAATAAGGATTCATTCAAATACTTGTGTAAAATTTAAGAAATCTGCAATCACGTTTTAGAGATAAGGAAAACAATACATAATTAATTTTATTTTTAATTAATTTTTTGAGACAATGCCTTCTATAAATACCTAGCTGGTCTCTCTATGTAGCCAAGGATGATTTTGAGCTTCCAGTTCTCTTACTTCTGCCTCCCACATGCTGGGATCACAGGCCTACAACTGAACTTCTTATTGTAGAAATCACTACTCACTCAAGAAAAAGTTCTGGAGCCACGTCAGAATCAGAATAGTGAACCTGAGAGGTGCATCCTGTCCTCGTTAGCTTACAGCTGAGGGACTGACACATGAAGCCAACACATGAGTTTTCAGGGTGCTCAAAAGTAGCAGAATATTTGTTTACACTGTGAAGAGTGGTTTAATAAAGAGCTGAATGGCCAATAGCCAGGCAGGAAGAGGTTAGGCCGGACTTCCAGGGACAGAGAGGACTCTGGGAAGAAGAAAGGAGGAGTCCCCAGCCAGACAGAGGAAACACCAGCAAGATGGAAGAGAGGAAACACCATGTGACAGAACGTAGGTTAACATAAATGGGTTAATTTAAGTTGTAAGAGCTAGTTGAGACAAGCCTAAGCTAAAGGGCAAACTTTCATGATTAACAAGACTCCTCCATTTGGGGCTGGCAACCAAAATGAAAGTCTGTCTCCACTCAGGTAGTTTCAAGGGTCTGGGGAAACCAACATAACCATGGCAGGAATCCCGGGGAAGGATGGAAAGACACGGGAAAGAGCCACTTTATCAGAGGGAACCTTGAGAAGTCACTCCAAGGACAACTGAGCAGCTGAGGAACACACAGAAGACACTTGTCGCCATGGTTCTTCTTTACAACAGCTCATAGACAGATGTTCTTATGACACCTGTCACCATGGTTCTTCTTTACAACAGCTCATAGACAGATGTTCTTAAGCACTGGGAAAGCCCAAAATGAACAAGGGAACAAACAACAGGTAAAGAGAATGCTTTGGAAAATTCTTGCTACAGAGCAGGGCTTAATGGGATGGGGCTTAGGGGTTGGTCCTTAAAGGCAGCAGGATTAGATGTCCTGCTAATACTGATTAGGCACATACCAATGGGGGAAAGGCTGGAGAGGGTTGGCTAAAGATGGAGGTAAGGACAGCTGTCTTAGGGTTTCTATTGTTATGGAGAGACTCCATAACCACAACAACTCTTATAAAGGAAAAACATTTAATTGGAGCGGCTTACATTTTAAGGATTTAGTCCATTATCATCATGGTAGGAAGCAAGGCAGCATACAGGCAGGCATAGTGCTGGAACAGGAGCTAAGAGTCCTACATCTTGACCAGCAGGCAACAAGAAGTGAACTGTCCACTGGGCGTGGCTTGAGCATATATGAGACCTCAAAGCCTACCCGCACAGTGACACACTTCCTCTAACAAAGCCACACTTAAGAGTGCCATTCCTTTTGGGGGACATTTTCTTTCAAACCATTTGTGAAACTAGGAAAGCGGCTGGAACCCAGAGTACCAGCCTGGCCACCCCTGATGCCAAAGGGAGGGTGACAAAAAGATGAATACTCAAGGGGTGAGATTCAGGGTTCTGGAGATGGCTCAGTAAGCAAAGCACTTGCCATGCGTGTTGTGGAATGATCTCTTTGTACACTGCAAAGATTTGTCACTCAGACTGGTTTAATAAAAAAATGAATGGCCAATAGCTAGGCAGGATTTCTGAGGAAAAGAGGATGCTGGGAAGAAAAAGGGCAGAGTTGCCAGCTGACAAGAGGAAACAGACATACAAGAAATGAGGTAAAAGTCATGAATCATGTAGTAACACATAGATGACTAGAGATGGATTAAGTTACAAGAGTGTTGAAGGAGGAGGCCACTTGCTCATTTCCTGGCAGCTCAGACCGAAAATAATCACACAGAAACTATATTATTTAAATCACTGCTTGGCCCATTAGCTCTAGCTTCTTATTGGCTAACTCTTATATCTTAATTCAACCCATTTCTAGTAATATGTGTATCACTATGAGGTCATGGCCTACCAGCAAAGTTTCAGTGTGTCTGTCTCTGGTGGTGGCTCAATAGCTTCTCTCTGACTCTGCCTTCTTTCTCCCAGCATTCAGTTTAGTTTTCCCCACGTAATTTAACCCATTTCCATTAATCTGTGCATTAACACATGGCAGTGGCTTACCATGTAAAGTTCTGGCATGTCTGTCTCTGGCAGCAGCTCCATGGTTTCTCCTAACTCCTCCTTCTTTCTCCCAGCATTCAATTTAGTTTTCCCTACCTACCTCTATTGCCTGTGCAGATCCAAGACAGTTTCTTTATTAACCAATGGTATTCATAGCATACAGAGGTATGTTTTTAAAAATCAGAGATATATTTTAGATAGACAGGTGATCTTCAAATACTTCAAAGGCCTACAGAATATTTAAAGCATTTAAAATGTTTTATTAACATAGAGCTTTTCGTGAGAATGAAATATGTCTGCTCCTGGCAACATCAATTTACTTCAGAAAAGATATTAGACATCAAAAAACCTCTAAATGGAGTTTGTTTTCATTGTGGCAAGTTTAGCCACTGGGGGGGAGGCTGTTCTTACCTTGACTTCTGACAATATGCTATACAAACTGGACAAGCAAGTACAAAGGAAAAAGACTGTCTAATTTTGCCATTAGAAGGTGAGACGGTCCTTCAAAATTCCTGCTTTACAGAAAAGTTTGTTAGATATTCTAGACCTGTAGCCTAAGATGGATGCCCTAATGCTACAGAGGAACCTGGAGTGATTGTCCAGGAAGACAGATATCTCTGTCATTTCTATAGTTTTGGAAGTTGTTTGATCTGTACTTCCTGTTTATTAAGGTAACAATATATCCTTCTGGGATTTTTGATGGAGTTTAAGACTAGACAGTCATAGTTATAGTTTTCCTTAGTTATGATAGAAGGTAAATTAGGCACAGAGCTTTGGACTCATCAAGACAGGATAGATAATGGGATATTTTCTCCAAATATGCCAAATACAAATGAACTGGACACTGTAAATATAATCCTTACCTGATATTTGTTCTTGTTTATAATTTTATTATGTTAGAGTTAAAACCCTTCCTTTACACAAAAAGGGGGAAATGTTGATCATTTTGTACACTGTAAAGATTTGTCACACAGATGGGTTTAACAAAACACAGCCAGTCGGTGGTGGCATACACCTTTAATCCCAGCACTTGGGAGGCAGAGGCAGGTGGATCTCTGTGAGTTCGAGGCCAGCCTCATCTACAAGAGCTAATTCCAAAGTTACAGAGAAACCCTGTCTCGAAAAACAAAAACAAATAAACAAAAAAAGCTGGATGGATTCAGGGTAGAGAGAATGCTGGGAAGAAGGATAGAGTCACTAACTGACTAAAAGGAACAGAATGCAAGAAAAGAGGTAAAAGCCACAAGTCACATGGCAACACACAGATGATTCAAGATGGGCTAATTTAAGTTATAAGGGGTAATTAGGAATAAGCCTAAGCTATCAGCTGGGCTTTTATAATTAATAAGGACTCTCCATGTCATGATTTGAAAGTTGGCAGGGGGGACAGAAAAATCCACCTACACATGAGCATGAGGACCTCAGTTCTATCCCTCAGAATACAGGCAAGAGCCAGGCGTACTACAGCAGTACACACCCGTGGTCCCTGTGCTCGCGAGCAGAAATGGAGGAGATTCCTAGAGCTTGCTGCCTAGCAAGTGTAGCCAAACTAAGTGAGGGGGCCTTACCTCAAAAAATATAGTAGGAAACAGTTTGGAAAGGCAAATGGTGTTCTCTGGCCTCATCACAAAGGAACACACATGCACATACACAGACACACACATGGGAGGGGTAGATTTAGGATCTTCTGTTTTGACAATAACAGAAAAATTAAAGTTCAGCTTTGACTGCTTAACTACAAGAGTGGAGATGGAAAGCCCCGTGTTACCTTCATCCAGCAGCTGGGCGAGCAGGGATGGCCGGAACCCTGCAGGAATGGCTCCCATGGTGGCTAACGTTTCGATCGTGTTTATCTGCTGAAGAGAGGAAAATGAAATAGACTTGTTTTCATTCCTCTCTTCGTCTGTGTAATACCTCAACACCATTTCAATCATAACCCAATAGAGAAAAATACAAAACAAAGACTTCGAGGTAAGAAATACTGCAGTGTCACCCCCAATTCCTCGAGGGTGACACTCACCATGAACCCTGGTCTCTCTAACGAATTTGACCTTCATAGTGACTAGAGTACAGAGCTCTGAGTTCTACGCCTGCGGCTCCACGGCACATGTGAACAAATGGTCACTAGTGCATCTGACCCACACCTTGGAATCGATGGATGCTTTGCGCATGTGAACTTCTGCCCGCCCACACACAAGCATGTCCTTGTAATGAAGGGAGGGAGTAGAGTCAGGAAGGCGACTCGGTACACTGTTAATGGAGATGGCTTAGGGGCTCAGAGGAAGGATTTTCTTATGTTATATAATTTCTTCATACAATTATGGGTCATTTCTTATTCTGATGTCTTTTTTATGTTTTTCAAATAGCTGAAATCTAATATCAGTTTCCCCAAAATGATAGAAGACTCCCAGAGGAACACAGGATAATCCCAAGCTCTTAAATCATATCACAGATGAGATGCTCTACTTCTCACACAGGACCTAAAGAGAAATGCTATTTGGATCATCTCCAGCAGGCAGGAGATGCCTTATGCTCACTACACCTTGCATCTGCTATGATCTCTGCTGTCCCCAGTCTCTATTCTGCTCTGAACTCAGTCTGAACTACTAAGTAACAAACCAAATGTATCTTACTTGCCAATTACGTCACTATTATTAGACACAAATCACGAGACAGGTGATAACCAACCTCTGAGAGAGCTTTTCGAACAGCACTCCAGTGAGAATCAGTTCTAGGGAGACAAAGGAGCAAGGTCAGCGCAGGGACCAGGTATGCCTATTCCAACCGGGCACTCAAAGAAGTATGTAATCATCAATCAATTTTGAAAACTAAACAGTTGTCTTAAAGAGGAGGCCAAGCTAGAACTAAATGCCCCAAAAATCATTACAAAATTAAAGTAGCAGCACGTGTCTCCATTTCATCAAAGTGTTGAATTTGTAGGGGAAAAGGGCCAGCCAGAGAAGCCCAGCTTGGCCCTGAAATCAGAGCGAGTGAAAGAAACACATACTGGCTCAGACCTGAGCCAGTGAAAGGAATACTTTAACCCTGAAACCAGAACCAAAGAAATACACCCTGACTCTGAAACTAGTGCCAAAGAAACACACTTTGGCCCTTGGATCAGAGTCAGTGAAAGAAATATGCCCTGGCCCCCAACTAGGGCCAAAAAGCTTACAAAGGTCAGTGAAAGAAACAAATTTGGATCTGAGATCAGCCATTTCTGCCCCTGACCAACTAAACTAACCAATCCCTGAGCAGGGAAAACCAATCCCTCTTCTCCCTGGGAAAATTCCTCCCCTAAGAAGCCATATATAAGCCCTGTGCCTGTTCAGTTTGTGGCTGCTCTTCTTCCCTCTCTGGAAGAGGCAGCGACTCTCCTAGATGCTTCCCTTCCAAGAGGCAGGCACTCTCCTGGATTCTTCCTTCCCAATAAATCTCTTGAACCAGGTTTGGGTGAGACCTTCTTTCACCAGAGCAGGGCTGTAACACTTTGGCCAGAAATGTCGCTGGGGAAACCTTCCTCTGGCAGAACAGAGCTGCTACACTTTGGAGCAGGGGAAGGTTTGCTACACTCCAGAACACTGGAGCAGAGCTGTAACTACTTCCCTGGGGAAGAAGCCCTTTCCTGCTGCAGCAGAGCTGTTATGTTGGGGAAACCTTTTCCTACAGCAGGGCTGTAAGCTGCTAAGCTTACTGTGACCTGTGCTGCTCCACGACTCCCGACTGCTGACTGCTGACTGCCGACTGCCGAGCCCTCGTCCACCCGAGCTGTAACACTCAGTATTCTCCAGCTCCCAACTGCCAGGATCCCTTTCCATCTGAGCTGTGACACTTACAGAATTATTTATGATAGTAAAAATAAAACCAAACGTTTCTGGGGCTGGAGATGGCTTACTTGGTAAAATGTTTGCCATGCAAGTGTGGAGACCTGAGTTCAGTTCCCTAGAGCTGACATAAAAAGCCAAGGTTATGCACTGATCTCAGAGCTGGGGAGGTGGAGACAGAATGGTGCCTGGGGCTCAGTGTCCACGAAGCCTAGCCCAGTGAGCAAGCTCCAGGTCCCAGAGAGACCCAGTATCAAAAAGCAAGGTGCATGGCTCCACGCACGCGTGCACACACGCAGGCAGCACAGGCTTCTTTGTGCTACCCCGCTGCCCTCTCCCACCTCGTTACCTCTGCTTTACTTTGGCTCCGTTCGCAGTTTCATCCACCACCTCCACATCCTCTTCGCTGCCCTCCTTGCTGCCTTCTTCACTCGATTCTTGTTTGTCTTTTTTATTATATGGCTGGAAAATTGAGGACATGCAAAGTGAGTGTCAGGTAATACAAAATCAATCAACAAAAGTACCAGTGTTTTAAGGAAGACCTGTCATGGATGAGAATACTTGTATGTGATGGGGAACACGGAACACGTGTTTGCGAATTTCACTATTTGAAAAAAATGACAGGAAGGAATGGTAATTTCAAAACCTGGGAACCTGAGTCAGGAGGATCATGAATTCTAGGCTAGCCTGGGCTCCACAGCAAGTTCCTGTCAGAAAGAGAGAGTGAGGGAGTGAGTGAGGGAGGGAGGGAGGGAGGGAGGGAGAGAGAGAGAGAGAGAGAGAGAGAGAGAGAGAGAAGGAGACAAGTTTTATAGCCAACATAAATCACATATCTGTTTATGTTAGGTGGAATTTAAATTAAAAATTAAGAAAAGGATCAGTGAAAGTGCTGGAAGAAGATACTCATGGAATAAGAAAGCCCTTTTCAGAAGTAATATCAAATGTAAAACCAAAAGTCATGAGTGAACACACTGACAGGTTTACATAACAAAAATACACACAACAGGAAGTCAAAAAAATATCAGACACAAATGTCTGAAGGCTAACATCTTAATTAATAACATAGCAGCTGTTACATTCAATAAGGAGAGATATAAGTAGAAAACACGGAGTTTAATAAATGCAAACAGAACAATAATGAGATTGGTTTTGATGACCACTCCCAGGGGATGGCAAATTGGTGAAATAAATCAAATCCAAAAACGACTGTGTGGATTATCACCACAGCAGCTGCTTGCTCTCCATCTCCCCATCTCAGTGCTGAAAGATTTCAGACTGCAATAATGGTTACTGAGCACTGGGGAGGCTGAGACAGGCAGATCCCTAGGACTTGGTGGCCTACTTGGCAACCCCCTGAGAGACGGTCTCAAAACTAAGATGGCCTATACTTGAAAACAGCACTAACCCCCACGGCATCTTCATGATGGGAGTGTTCCAGAGTTCACGATGGGGGCCCAGGAGGCAGGCAGTTAATACAGAGCACTTCCCCTTCTCACCATGGCTGCTAACAGGTCAGAAGTACAGCTCCACGCCTTATCACCATCAGAACAGAAACACTTTGTCGCAGGAAAGGCACAAATGAGCAGGACTAACCTCCAAGTAGGTTCTGGGAATGAGACCCTCATTCCCTTCAGCATCCTTGGCCAGCCACCAACCATCAGGCTTTTTGTCGATTATGTGGAGAATGTCCCCTTTCTTAAACAAAACAAAGTAGAAACTGAACAATGTTTCATTACAAATGCTTCAAAATACATTTCTACTAAAGTAAAATAAGCAAATAAGCTTTATTAATTATTTAGTCCCATTTGAAAATAAAGTCCATCACACTCTACTACTGACTCTATGTGACTATAAAAGAATCACTTCATTGGCTACTTAGCACACACACACACACACACACACACACACACACACACGAAGCTTATATTCAAATGAGAAGCACCTCTTCACTATTTTGTGTGTGTATGCGTGTCTGAATGTTTTGCCTGCATGCATGTCTGTGCACCAACACATGCCTAATATCCATGGAAGTGAGAAAGGGCTGTGGATCTCCTAGAACTGGAGTTACAGGCTGTGAGCCACGATGTGGGAGCTGGAAACCAAACCTGTGTCCTCTGTAAGGGCAGCAAGTGTTCTTAACTGCTGAGCCATCTCTCCAGCTCCTTCACTATCATTCTGAAGGTATCATGCTATGCCAACACTTTGATTATTACATAAGAAAAACTGAATTTGTGACTGTCTCTTTGGAAAGTATTTTTCAGAAGCACCATGTGAATCCTTGAGAAAATCAGTTCTGTGAAATTAAAATTAAACCATATGTTGAAGCAAAGATAGTACTTGTCTAATATATATCCCAACTCACATTTTGAATTACATTTATCCAAACATAAAAATATGATCCACCAACCAGGTATGGTAGTACATATCTTTAATTACAATACTGGGGAAACAGAGGGAGGTAGATCTCTTGAGTTTGAGGCCAGCCTAGTCTATATAGTGAGTCCCAAGCCAGCCAGAGACACACAGTGAGACCATGTTAAATATATACATATATATATATGTATATATATTCCATTTTTGGGTTCTTTTTTGAGACAGGGTTTCTCTGTGCAACAGCCCAGGCTGTTCTGCAACTCATTTTGTAGAGCAGGCTGGCCCTGAATTCAAAAAGATCCACTTGTCTCTGCCTCCTGAATGCTGGGATTAAAGGTGTGCACCACTACTATCTGATATATATTCCATCTTTGATGATCTTAGAAGCTCTACAATTGAAGGTATTGAGAAACAAAGTTTTTCTTAGAATATACATTCTGTCCAATACTGATGGCATTCTTCAGAGCTGAAAATAATTCTATGAATTAAAATGTAAATATATTGGCTACATAATACACTTTTGTCATATTTGTTATTTAATTTTGGAATTTTATAACTATAAGAACTAAAATTGGCATATTCTTTAAGACTCTCAACTTATGTTCACAACAGAAAGCTGTAAGCTTCTTTAAAAACCACAACTCCAGCTGGAGAGATGGCTTAGCCATTAAAGGCTGGGCTCCCAACCAAAACTATAAGAACCAGACATCTAGCTGGGTGGTGGTGGCACACACCTTTACTTCCAGTACCCAGAGGCAGAGGCAGGCGGATCTCTGTGAGTTCAAGACCAGCCTGGTCTACAAAGCGAGGTCCAGGATAGCGAGGACAGAAAAACCATCTTGAAAAACAAACAAGCAAAATACACACACACACACACACACACACACACACACACACACACACCAAAAAAACAACAACAACATAACAAAACCCCAAAACCCAGCAGTCTAAGCCAGGCCAACTTAGTGGGAAAGTGCTTGCCTAACATGCATAAATCCTATGACTTGCTCTCCTTCACTGAGAAAGCAATCCATGAGTTTATTTTCTCACCCTCCTGCTACTTATGTATGCACAGACCAAGCATAAGTGACTGGAAGGAAGGCCTTTTGTTGACAGGGGAGAAGGGGAGTGTGTATTTTGTTTTTGAGACAAAGGCTCACTACATAGCCTTGACTGGCCTGGAACTCACTATGTAGACCAGGCTGGTTTTGAACTTACAGAGATCTGTCTGCCTCTGCCTCCTGGGTGCTAGGAGTAAAGGCGTGTGCACAGTGCCAGGCTACTGAAGAACTGCCTCTAACAACATGAATCATGCCTATTGCTTCAACCTACAGGATCTGCCTGAGTTGAGTAATTTCATATATGCCTCAATTATAACATGTACCCTGAATTAGGAGCTATAAAATTACATCTATTTTGAAAAGAAAATCTTTAGAAGGGGAAATTTTAATAAAAGACCCTCCTATGAGTGCTACTTCCAAGTTATGGTTATTTTTCTAAAGAAGGTTTACTCTCAGGACTGTGAAGGGCAAGTGCACAGCTCTCAGGAATTTCTGTTAGGGATGCGCTTGCCCTGGCTGCAGACTAACTACCTACCTTAAATGTCAGGTCCCCAGCCTGCTGAGCAGCGAAGTCCCCGAGAGCAAAGTACGTGATGATTTCTGCTTGTTTGGGGGAGTCTTGTTCCTGCTTTTCTTCCTCGTCTCCTTCTGATTCTTCTTCCTCTCCACCGGTTTCTTCAGTTTCTTCTTCATCTTCTTCTTCGGTCAAGTCCTCATCCTCTTTGTCACTGTGTGTCTCGTCTCTACAAGAAACAAGTCTATCAGTGGGATACATGACGTCACATCCAGGCACAGAGTGAGCAGAGAAAGCTTGGATGGACAAAAGTTGCTCCATATTTGGAGCTGGAAGGAAAAAGACGTAGTAGAAGAATGTGGATGAGAGTTTCCACCATCGAGTTGACCTCTAGTTGGCTAGGACTGGGGGTGAAGAAGCTGAGGCGCTAGACTGTCTTCCAGCCCTGGAGTCGCCCCGCACACACTGCTCAAGCATCTTCATACAGTGCTCGCAGCATGGGCCCTGAGTTTCAATTCTGCCTCTACCCATCCTTCCTTGAACAAGCTTGGGTTAGATTAGTTGGTTTTGTTTGTAGTGCTGGGAATCGAATCAAAGGCCTTACATATTTTAGGAAAATGTTCTATTAGTAAGTTACAACCCCAGTCCATGGCCACTCACAATCCTCTGGCCTTAGCCTCCCAAGTGTGGGGTTACAGATATGTGCCACCATGCTCAGAAAGAGCTGCAATTATTTCTCGTAAGAAAAAGAAACCATGACTTTTGTCTTTGTTGATCTGACTCATTGCTTATCTGTTCTCATTTTCATGGCCTTTTTTGTTCCTTTCTTGAGTTTATTTGGCTCCTTCCTTTCTTCTTCGGCTTCTTAATTTGGAAGCTCTAACAACTGATTTTCAATCTTCTTTCCAAACTACTCATTTCAAGCTAAGCGTTTCCCCCTAAGCACCACTTTGGCTGTAGGTCACACGCCACATTCATTTTTATCCCCACCATGTTCTAATTGTCACTGCAATATTTTCTTTGGCTCATGAGTTATATTTAAGTGTTTGATTTAATTTGCAAACATTGGTGATTTCTACTTCTTATGTCATTGAATTTTAACATAATTCTAAAATTTCAAACAACACCCATGACATAGATTCAGTTCTTTGAAACACAGTGACAAGTGTTTGGGGCGCCTGTGGTTCACCCAATTCACAAGTGATGGATCCTGTGCACTGCACTTTGTTGGGCGCTGGGTCACCGAGTTTCAGAGCAGCATGTGAATGCTTGCCCAATGGGTCTCCATGAGACAAGGCTGGTGGAGACGGTCTCTCACTCAACAAGGATCAGCGGCCTTCGAGATAGCACAGAGTGTGCTGGGACCTGCATGCTCTCTTCTGTCCCATAATATTGACGATTCTCCTGGCAGGTTTTGTTGTTGTTGTTGTTGTTTTGTCTTGTTTTTATTTTCACTTCATCGGTCGCACATGGGACAGATATGATCACTTCCAGAAACATTTTTTTTTCTCAAATGTTTTCCCCTAAAATTCTTTGGAAACGAATGCTTCTCAGGTTTCTTTTTCTTTCTTTTAGGTTTCTTATCTATAAACACCAGCTGTCACCCTAGACCCTGGGAACTTTTCTGATTCAGTGCAAGTAGGACAGGGGCAATAAAAGTTAACGGGCACATGTAAGGAGGCAACAAAGGGGACATTAACTATGTCTCTTAATTTTGGGAAAAAAACATTAAGATGGAAAAAGAGTGCCTTATCAAAGCTCACCCTCTGTAGAAAGCTTAGGCATGCAGGACCCTTTTGTAGGACAAGGCAACAGTTGGAAGCATTCGAGCTAACTGTATGCAAGCAGCTTATGGCAAATTACCCCCATTTCTGTAAAGATGCTTTATTAAGCTTTGAATGCTATTGTTGTTCTTGGGAATGTGTGCTCATGTCTATTCCATGATGTGCCTGGCTTGATATTTGGCCAACCTAACAAAATGCTCAGCATTGCTTTTGGTTTAAAAGTTGTTTGCCTATAAAAGTTGGGGGAAAACATATTTGTTTTTACTGGAGGCTAATGCTGAAGGGTAGGAAAAACATATTTACTTTTGAAGTATAAAAAAGATGGTTTGAGCTATTTGGAGTGGGCCACTTGTGCCAAACTCATCCGGTGGTTGGACACTTCTTCTTTGCACCGATGCCCCTTCCTGGTCTTGGGACCTGAACCCCGCTGCAGTGGGGTCAGCAGCGCATTGTTTCCTTGGGCACGGAGGTCTACACCATCTACACCGATGTTATCAGTCAAGGTTGCTGAGAACCATGGATTAATTTCCTGACCTACAAGCAGTTCTGGCAACCCTGGCTTATACATTCGAGTCTATGTTATTAGGGTTTTTTTTTCCCCCTACTGAACTTACTCTTCTATAAACACAAAATGTCCTTTGTTTGTAGTAAATACTTTGGGCCTAGATGTCTACTTTGCCCAGTTAAGTAACTAACTCCCTTACTTAGCTTTTCTTAGCATTTGCATGTAATATATCTTTTCACTTTTCCTTTGAAGTTATCTATAATTTGTAACTAGTGTATAACTCTTATTACCAGTACACATATGTAGGTCTATAGAAAAACAAAACAAAACAAAGAACCCCAAAGCCAAGGCCAACCTGACAATCTCTTTTTCAAGTGAAACACCAGTCCACTCACCTTTGCTCTAGCTGTCTAAGTGGCCACTTTATGTCTAAGCATGCTACCCTTTAGTTTCCTTTTGTCTCATGTGCACTTTTTTGTCTCTTTTTCTCTTTAAAATTTTTTTTATTAATTTTTAGCATCCCACCTTTTTGTTTATATGGTTTCCTAATGTGTGTATTATAATGTAATCTAAACTATCATAGTCTTATCTGAATTACTGTTTTATCATCAGCAAAAATAAAAGAATCTCAAGCTGATAGAATTACAGTCAAGTCCTTTGTACCAGGGTTGTACTCGTACAGCACATGGCCAATCCTTACTAGCTTTAGCTTCCACATCTGTGCATCTGTTCGCTTGGTAAAATAGAACGAGCTTGTGTAGTACCATGTGCTCAGCTGTGGACTTCCCAAGGCAGCAGCAACTACGAGCGAACAGTGCACAGTTCCACCTCTGGCTGACTACAGCCACATCGTCTTCTCCTTCGGCTTTCCTTGGGTAAACAGGTGCCTTTGCAGTCTGCTTAGCATTATGTCTTCTTCCTTTTTGTGGTATCACTGTGTTTGCTGCTTAAATGTCTCCACAACGGGCTACCAAAGTGTTCGTAGAGTTTCTAAGTATGAGAAAGCTGTTTGCCTTCAGAGAGGTACAAGGGTTAGGTAAGACGTTTCACGTGTAAATTACAGTTCTGTTGGCTATGGATTCATGTTAATAAATCTGTGTGTGTGTGCAAGTGCATGCTTGCATGCTATGTCTTTAGACAGAAACACATGTAAACAATCCTGTATTTTACTCTGTTGTTGAAAACAGTGTGGCTAGAAGCTTACAGGAATCTAAATCTATAAATCCCATGAGTATAATTACTTAGTAATCTCTAAGTCAGTGTCCTTAATAACTTTATAGAACATAACTACTGCAAATAACAAGACTTGACTATCATGATGCTAATTTTATGTCAATTTGAAATAAGTTAGAGTCATCTGGGAGGAAGATTAGGCTGTAGGTGGCCAGGCAGTGATGGTGCACACCTTTAATCCCAGCACTTGGGAGGCAGAGGCAGGTGGATCTCTGTGAGTTCGAGGCCAGCCTGGTCTACAAGAGCTAGTTCCAGGACAGGCTCCAAAGCTACAGAGAAACCCTGTGTCGAAAATCCAAAACCAAAAACCAAAACCAAAGTCAAATCAAAACAAAACAAAAGATTAGGCTGTAGGCAAGCCTGTAGGACATTTTTTAATGAGTGATGAAGGGCTAGTCCACTGGGGCTGGGATCCACTGCCTAGCCTTAACAGTTGTTTCTAATGGGAGCAGAAACACAACACTGGCTACTCTGTCATTCTCAATATTAGAAAGCAAAAAAAAAAAAAAAAAAAATCCTAGAATGTTTGCAAGTATATCCATTGTTCCACCTAGAGTTCAGTGTAAAAGGCTGGAGAACAAGCTGGGCATGGTGGCGTATGCCCATCATCCTAGCCCTGAAGCAGCTGAGAAAGGAAGACTACAAATTCAAGACCACCCTGAACTACACAGCAAGACCCTGTAGCAAAGAGTTGAGGAATAGCATTTGAAGAGGCTCAAAAATTGATTTTTTTTCTTTCTCCACAACTGGGTTTGTTTACACCTACAGGACTTTTGTTCTGTAATTTGTAAAAACTATTATTAATGTTCTTTCCAACAAAAAAAATACATGTTTCTGCTTTCAGTGTTCCAACAACATTCACATTCTTTGAAAGAGAGGGTCATGTAAGCAGACAACCTAAACCACTTTCCTTGTTTGCATCAAGCCTTGCTTTAAGGTGGCATGCGCATTTCCTAACAGTGGTTTATTTAGCTCTTCAGCTCACCAGTCTACTGCTCCAACTAGAATACAGTCTGAGGGCAGAGACTAGGATGCCTCTTAGCATCGCTCACAGGAGCTAAGATGTTCTGGAATCCCCAATACACACATTTAATTGCCTGTAGTGTTTTTGACATTTTTTGTTCTTGCTGCTATATGTCTCTATTCCTAACCATATATATATATATGTATATGTATATGACTTAAGGAGGATGGGAGCATACTTGAGAGTGTCCTTCTTGCTGACGCCCACAGCAAGCTCCTGCAGCTGGCAGGTCAGCTTTTCCAGAAGACTGTACTCCTCCTCCTTTCTCTTCTCATAGTTCCCGACAGGTGCAGATTCATCAGCCTGTGAGAGAACAGGGACCTGACTCAATGGAAAACCAACCCCAGGTTCTCTAAATATATTTAATTTCAAAGGATAACCACAGGGCTAGAGAGATGGCTCAGTGTTTAAGACTGCTTACTGCTCTAGAAGAAGAAACAGGTTTAATTCCCAGAACCCATGTGACAGCTCGCAACTGCCTATACTTCCAGTTGTAAGGGATCCAATAACCTCTTCTGGTACCCAATGAAACTGCAGACATAGCAACACATATAGCCAGGCAGGCACACATTCGTACACATAAAAAAAATTCTTACAAAATAATAAAATAAGCAAGTTGTTGTGGTGTATACCTTTAATCCCAGCACTCAGTGGGCAGAGGCAGGGGGACTCTAAATTTGAGGCCACTCTGGTCTACAGAGTGAGTTCCAGGATGTCCAGAACTATATAGTGAGACTCTGTCTCAAAAAACAAACGCACACAATAAATAAATAAATAAATAAATAAATAAATAAATAAATAAATAAATAGCAAAACTACAATAAATGCTGTAAGACAAGATTACATTTACATTGGAGGATAAGAAAGAGTCTATAGTTCATTGACTTGGAATTCAAACCAAATGAAAAATAAAATTATATGACTCAAACGTTTTTGGGCTTTCTTGCTTCCTTGATATATATTATAGATCTTATATAATCAGTATGAGACAGGTTTGGGCAGTACAAAAATAAGAAAAGCTTGTTCCTAGATTCCAACACTGACTGGTAAAGAAAGGTCTCTTGCCCCTTGAGAGCATCATTTTGTTGCTACATTTTCTCTGCCTAAGGGACTGGTCTGTCTCTGACACTGAGTTCTGTACAACTGGAAAGGTTCAGATCAGATGGTCAGGTGCAGGACCAAGCCTTCAGAACAGGTGGCTCCACTTCAAATGCTCCATGGGGCTTTAGCCCTGGACACCATGGAAACTCTGGTTCATGTTTAAAAATCCCAGGACTGCCAAGAGCAAATTTTTGTTCATCTTTCTTTTGTGAAGTCACTGATATGAGCGACACTGTGTCATCAAGAGGCCTCTTAGCCAGGTACTCTCCCCCCACAGAAGCGTTTCTTAACTGTTAACACACAACTAATCCAATGGAAAAGAAAGGGGAACCCTGTGAGTAGATGTTTCCAGGCTGTCTGAGTTGGCGATGCTGGGTAACATGATCAGAGAGACTTAGCTGAGGTCATGGCTGCTCTGCTCTCATAACAAAGCTAAGGGAACTGTGCTGGCTGATCCTGCTTGTCCACTTGACGCACCTCGCAAAGGGAACCTCAGCTGAGGAACTGCCTCCATCAGCCTGGCCTGTGGCATGACTGGGGTAATTTTTCTTTTCTTTTTTTTTTTTTTTTTTTTTTTTTTTTTTCTTTTTTTTTTTT